TGTTTCAGAATCTTTTTTTCTTCATTTCCCTTCTCTAAAAACTGGTGCATCTTATGGTCCGGAGCGTCTTATGGTCTGAAAAATACAGTAAGTGCCAAGCGGTTTGGGGCCATCTAGTAAATCCTATCTTCCCTAAACCAAGGACACTTAAAAGCAAATAATTTGCATTTTGCCTCCCTAACCAAAGCTTATGTCGTTATACTCAAAAGACTGATAAGTAGAAGTATAATTAGTGTCATTTACTGTCCACACCCTGGGTCAAATAAAGTTCAGGGGAACTAATAGTGGGAGGATACCAGAGGCTTAATATTGTCACAGAGGCTTGTCTCTCACCTGGACATTACTTATCATGGAAACATTTGATCTGTGTTTGTGCTGTTTGTGCCAGCTTACATTCAGGGAATGGTCCAAGATGCAGGAAAGTGTTAGGTAAATGAATGCTGCTTCAAGGTTGATGTTAATGATAATTTAATGCCGCCTCAGCAGGGAAACTTTAAGTGGGACCAGCCCCGGCCCCATCAAACCATAGGGGCCTTACCTTTGACCCCACTGCAGCCTTTCCAGTCAGCTTAGTTCCAAAGCCTACCATTCTAAACCTTTACCATGCCACCTGGGACTACCTCGCAATATGTACTAACCCTGGAGATGGGGCCTCGGGCCATTGCTATGGGAATGAATGGTCCCCTTTCTGTGTGCATGATGGGCTAATATTAGGGAGGAGCGGTTTAACATTGAAAGGGTTTCAAGTCCTCCCTGGGGCGATAGATCAGAACTATACCGGAGAAATTAAAGTAATGGCACAAACAATTAATACTATAAATCAGGTCTTACCAGAAACAAAAATAGCATAAATTCATGGATAGGCAACAGCAGAAAGAGCCAATCCTACTCTTTTTTTTTTTAAAAATATATTTTATTGATTTTTTACAGAGAGGAAGGGAGAGAGATAGAGAGCTAGAAACGTCAATAAGAGAGAAACATCGACCAGCTGCCTCTTGCACATCCCCTACCGAGGATGTGCCCGCAACCAACGTATTGTACATGCCCCTGACCGGAACTGAACCTGAGACCTTTCAGTCCGCAGACTGATGCTCTACCACTGAGCCAAACCAGTTTCGGCCCAACCCTACTCTTAAAAAGCAATTACAAAAACAAAAAAGGGGGAGAAGGATGTTATGTGTTAAATTCTTTGAATTACAATGCAGAGAGTTGTACAATGGCCAATAGGCATTGGAGCTCCAGTATAATAGCTTCTGCTGAGTTAGCCCAGTGGAAGGATGCACAAACCAGAAAAGAGTTTTACCAGATCCAATAATGATGTGGGGCAGAGGTTGTGTTTGTATCTTTCCAGAAGGAGCAGCACAGCCAGGTTGGGTGCGAGAGCCTTACATGTGTCCCCACAATGGACCCAGAGAAGCTCCTTGTCCCTTCGTTCAAAAGATTGAGAGTTGCCTGATGACAGCAAAGTGGAAGAAAAAAACGAAGGCTATGCAAGGGGCTGAGCTGAAGAAGTTAACAACTGAAGCCCAGCAGATCGTAGAAAAGCAGAAAGTGGAAGCTACTTCCTCAACCATGTTCCTGCTCATGCTAGCATTGGTTATCTGCCAGTCTTCTGTAAAGTATTGCACAGCCAAGTCCAAGGACTATGAGTAAATATACACCAGCAGCAAAATAAACTTTCATTTTATAGCTGAAAATGTTAACATGTCTGTAGTTTGATTTCTCTCAGATTGCTGAGTTGAATTGGCATTGTGTTGTTATTGTTTTAATAGCCAGAGCTTTGTTCTTGATGTTTAAATTTTACTTTTATAGTAGCTTAAAAACAAAAGAAGGGGAGATGTAGAGAGCAGCTATAGGGATAAGCCTCGGATTGACCTGTGGCAGGGCCCACACAAACAAGTCCCCGCCTGGAAGGCAGAGCTCTCCTAGTATAATTAAGCCTGACTTTGTAGCCCTTCCTAATTCCTTCCTAAGTAGCTAAGATTCACTCTGAGGTGGGAGGTGTAGCAAATGTTGCCAAAACAAGAGAAACTCATAAGAACATTGTAACTATGCTGACCACTCTTTATCTCTGAATATAAATAAAGCTTCAGCTTGCCAGTTGGATTTTTCTGTGTCCTCATCCAGACATGGGAGATTCACTAAGCCCCAGCTGTATTCTCTTTGTCTATCTTCTTTAATAGTTGACCAACCCTCCTCAGGTTTACTCTTGACTGTGCTGGCATGGCACACTTGTCTATAGTGCCAAATGCTGCAGTAACCTCAAGTCTAGAGAAGACCAAAAGCCATTCATTAGGGACATCAATATTGAGAGGTCCCATCATCAATTCCTAGGATGATGTTGCATTATGCTGAAGACCCCCCATGGTTTACTGCAGTGGTCTGCAAACCACAGCTTGTGAGCTACATGCAGCTCTTTGGCCCCTTGAGTGTGGCTCTTCCACAAAATACCACGTGTAGGCATGCACGTACAGTGTGATTGAAAATTTGTGGCCCATGCACAGAAGTCGGTTTTTGGCTCTCAAAAGAAATTTCAATCGTTGTACTGTTGTTGATATTTAGCTCTGTTGACTAATGAGTTTGCTGACCACTGGTTTACTGGATTGAAGAGAAAGCAAGAAATGAAGAAGTATACACAGGTGTAGTCTATCTTTTCTCTCTTTTCTCAGGAAGGACAAGGTTACTTTTCTGGGTTAGAGACCATTGCTAGTGTCATGATAGCACTTTAGCTATTTATTCATTTTTTTATTTGTTTATGCAAAACCCAAGGATACTTAAAGGATAGAAAGAGGCCATTAGGAATGAATTGGTTGAAAATATTGAAGCAAGGAGATTTAATACATTTGAATAATAAGTTAGCTGTTCTTCATTATATGGAGGGAATATAGAGCCAGAAAAAGGAATACACTTACTTTTCAAATATGAATGTATCATTTACAAAATTGATTTTAGGGGGAAAGTCCATATACTATATTCTCAGAGCAAAGTAAGAAAAAGGAATGATCAACCAGACAAATAAAAGTGGCAAAGGAATGGGTGTTATAAACACTGGCTGGTCAGAAGGGAAGACACAAGTGGAAACAATCAATGAAAATAACAAACTAAGGATGCTGCTAATAGGGCTTAGAGAGGAAAATATATTGCTCTAGATATTCCTATTTTCCTAATAAAGTGCCTGAAGATTTATGAAATAAGTCTGCCCTTAAAATAGTTTTAAAAACAAGTGAATGAAATAACTAGCCAAAAGAAGGAAGAGGGAGCTAAAATCCAAAACAGAAAAAAAATTGAGGGGAAAAAACACGGAAAAGAAATACAGTAAACAATTAGTACATACTAAGGTAACATGAAATTCAAAGTGTGATCTCTGCAGATGACTTCGTAGAGTATAAGGAACAGATGGCAAAATGTAAACTGGAATAATCAGCTCATATAATAAACTCATCAATTAAGCTGTTTTCTCCACACCAACTTTCTTGGTTGGGCAAAGAGATAAGATAGAAAAAAGTGAGGGGAAATGTAATAGTGAGCTCACAGCCTAGATTTTGATGTACAGCCCATTATAATAATCTCTTAGAATTCAGTAAAAAACAAATACCTATGATAAACATATAATAAATGTTTGAATAGTACCTCATATATATTTTTAGACTCTCTCTCTAGGAATATCTACTTTGTACTTTATTCTCTACCCCAATTATTTCACTCAATATCACAAAATTCTGAGAATGGCATTTATATTTATTCCTACTTAACAGGTGAGGAATCTGAGACTAGGAAAATTAATGACTTGATGAGGATCTTACAGTGGTAGAGCCAGGACTAATTCTCAGGTCTAATATCACAAGGTTTTTTAAAAATTGAATCTATTTTTGATAATTGAGATACAATTCACACACTACAAGAAATCACTCTTTTAAAGAATGGAAGTTCATGATTTTCAGTATTTCCTCAAGATTGTGCCACTATTGCCATTAATTTGAGAACACTTGTACCTTCTTTTTAAAAATATATATATTTTATTTATTTTTTTCAGAGAGGAAGAGAGATAGTTAGAAACATTGATGAGAGAGAATCATTGATTAGCTGCCTCTTGCACACCCCCTACTGGGGATGTGCCCACAACCAAGGTACATGCCCTTGACCGGAATCGAACCTGGGACCTTTTAGTCCACAGACCGACGGTCTACCACTGAGCCAAACTGGTTTCGGCTTAAAAATATATTTTATTGATTTTTTACAGAGAGGAAGAGAGAGGGATAGAGAGTTAGAAACATCGATGAGAGAGAATCATCGATCAGCTGCTTTTGCACACCCCCTACTGGGGATGTGCCCGCAACCAAGGTACATGCCCTTGACAGGAATCAAACCTGGGACCTTAGAGTCCCCAGGCCAACGCTCTATCCACTGAGCCAAACCTGTTTCGGCTCTACTTTCTGTTTTAATGGATTCACTTATTCTAGTCATTTCATAGGAATGGACTCATGGATACAAGTGGCTTTGTATTTGGCTCCTTCCACTTACCATAATGTCCTCAAGTTTCATCCGTGTTGTAACAAGTACCCCAGGATTTAAAAGTTAGGAGACAACTCAGACATCCTCTCACTTTACAGTTGGAGAAACTAAGACCAAAGATAGTTTATATATTTAGTGGCATCCAGGTCCCCTACCTCCTGATCCTGTGCTATTTCTACCACACTATAACTGCCAAGACAACAAGTAGAATAAAAAAGAGATTCCACAATAGATTGAAATAGCCTACTAATTTGATATGCCATACATTGGAAATAACATATGGTAGGAAAGTCTGATATTTTATGAAATGTTTTCAATTTTTTGCAAGGAGTCCCAGAAATTGTATATTTCCTGGGCTACCAGAATGATACCAGATACTTGTAGAAAAATGGCATAATTGCCACAGCAGATTGCATGACTTAAAGTTTGATTTCACTTTGTATGTACAAAGGTAACTATTAAAAAAACCAACACAAAATGTGAATTACCCTTAGTGAAAGTTCCAAATTTTCTGCTCCCCAAAGGTTCATTTCCTTGTCATACTGTCCGATCTCGTTAAAATAATGCCGATTTATAGCAAAAATTCCTCCAGACATTGCAGGGGACCTAAAAAGGACACAGGTATTAAGTTGATTCTACAGACTCAGTTAGTATGGATTTTTGCCAAAATTATATTGAATATTAATGACAACACAGTTAAAAACTAGAAAAAAACCATATTAACTAATGTCCAAATTTTTAAACAAACATTTAAGTATGTAAAATTACTAAGTTAAAACCATGACTACCAAAAAGTAGGCAATAACATTTACTTGGCTCTTATCAAATTATGCAAGCAATATACAGGGCAGGGTAAAAGGAGGTTTACAGTTGTTCATATGGAAAATAATATAATAATCGATAATAATATAAGAATAAACCTGTGTTTCATGCACTCAGAACTGTAAATTTACTATTGCCCACCTGTGTTCTAAATGCTGTGTTGGTCAGTGGGAAAATTATCTTTAGGCTGAAAGTTCCCTATGGGGATGAACACTGAATTGGGTCGTGAAGGTCAGAAATCCCCCTTACTACGGGCATTGAGGGAAAAACCATCACATTATAAAGCATTTTTTTTCTTTTGTCCATCAAAGCAGGACCCATAAATACCAAACTAAATAGCTTGAAAGACATTACATGGGCCCGGTCAGCTTAGCTCAGTGGTTGAGCATCGACCTATGTACCAGGAGCTCTCGGTTCGATTCCCTATCAGGGCACATCCCTGGATTGCGGGCTAAATCCCCAATGTAGGGCATGCAGGAGGAAGCTGATCAATGATTCTCTCTCATCACTGATATCTCTCTCTCTCTTCCTCTCCCTTCCTCTCTGAAATAAATAAAAATTCTTAAAAAAAGAAAGTATTTACATATTCATTCATTTATTTGTTCAAAAAACTACCTATTAAAAAAAACCCAACTATCTATTAAGCAGCTTTAACATGTTAGGGGTAAATTAGTGAGCCAACAGGTGAAGATGGGAGTAGGGATATCAGGTAGAGATTGCTGCAGTGGTCCCAGAGAAAGATGATGGAATCTTGGATAAGGGCATAGCAAAGAAGGTGGTGAGATGTGGTCAAATTCTTGATATATTTTGAAGATGGAGCCAGCAGACCTGCTTATCATGGAATGTGGGGTATTGGGAAGAAAAGAGTCACTGTTGGCTCCAACATTTTAGGCCTGGGAACTTGAAGGACAGACTTGCAGGGCACTGAGATGGGGAATGCTGTACGGGGGCAGGGTTTTGGTGGGAAGATTCAGTTTGAGATGTGTTTTCGGCATTCAAGTAGAGAGGTCAGTGATAGTAGGATAGTTGGGTAGATGCCTTTGGCATTCTGACAGAGGTCAGGGCTGGAGACAACTAACGGGCATTGTCAGTCTAGGATAATGGTAAGCAAACTCATTAGTCAACAGAGCCAAATGTCAACAGTACAATGATTGAAATTTCTTTTGAGAGCTGAAAACTGACTTGTGCTCATGGGCCACTAAGTTTCCATTGCACTGTACATGCGCGCTTGAACGTGGTATTTTGTGGAAGAGCCACACTCAAGAGGCCAAAGACATGCATGTGGCTCGCGAGCCGCAATTTGCCAACCACTGGTCTAGGAGGATGAGATTCACTCTGAGGAGTGGGGGGAGGTGGAGAAGAGGACACAGGACTGAGACATGGACACCTCAACAGTAAGAGGTGGGAGAGAAGAGGCGGATTCGGCAGAGAGGATGGGAAGGAGTAACAGAGAGGCGGGAGGAGGACCAGGAGGCCGTGGTGGTCAGGAGCCCAAGGGAAGCATGCACGAGAGAAGGAAGGGAGAGCTCAGCAGGCAGAGCAAGTGAGATGAGGACTGAGAACTGGACCCGGGATTTCACAATGGGAAGGCCATGAACAAGGTTTTTTTGGGGGGAGGGCAAGGCAAAGTCTGATTAAAGTGAGTTAAAGAGACAAGAGATAACAGAGGCAAAGATCAAGGATTTGCTAGGCTTTAGTGTTAGAAAATTTACTTACGTGGCTTGTGAAACAAAGGAATTAGAGGCAAAGAAGAGAAGTGAGCTTGGTGTCCAAAGTTACCAGTAAATATGGAAAGGGACCTGGAAGAAGTGTTTCAGAAAGAGCCTCATTGATGCAGTTAAAAGTCACAATGTTCAGCTCATTCTCACAGTTAGAGGGTTCCCAGACCAGCCATTTAGGAAAATCATGTTCATCTCCACCTATAACATTAGATAGAAGCCCCTGGATACATATTTTAGAAACAAATGTGGCAGAGACTTCTACTGTTTCTACCCACAGCGCTGGCATTCTGGTCATTGATCAGCATATACAACTTGTTATTGAGAACCAAGTCCACATTCTAAAGATGGACCTTTGAGGCCAGAGGGATACTAACCACAGAGGTGGTGTGAACTGGGGTGAAATGCTCATTTTCAATGGAAGGAATTCAAAACCTACTCAATTGTATTATTATAGACTAGTGACCCAGTGCACAGAATTCATGCACTTTAAAAGTGGATTAATTAGAGGAAATCATTTAATATTGCTATTTGCCCTTTCTCTATTTTAGAAGTGTCAGAGATGAAAGAAAACAAGTAAAATGTGTGTGAGAACCTTCCTCCTGTCAGAGTCTGGGACTCAGAGTCAAGTCCCCACCCATCCACATGCACCTCAATATTGCATGTGACCTAGATCTCGCCAAGCCCCACCCCCCACCATTGGGTTAGATCCAGACCTGGCCAGTCCCACCCTTGTCAAGCCCTGCTGGGCAGGGAGCATAGTCTCAGGTCCCCTGGCTCGGCACCAGGACAGGGGGTGTAGCCTGAGTTCCCCTGACTCAGCTCTTTGTGACCCAGCCAGGCAGGGGTCACAACCTCAGGTCCCCTGGCCTGGTGCTGGGGCAGGGGGCATGACCTGAGGCCCCCTGTCAAGCCCCACGGGGGTGGGGAAGGGCGAAGCCTCAGATCCCTGCTGATTGCTCATTAAAGCCTCAGCTGTGGGTGCAGCCATCTTTGTGATGGAGTGGTGCTTAATTAGCATATTCCCTCTTTATTAGATAGGATGTCTAGAAACAAGATAAATAACAAAATACCATTAATCTCATGAAATTGAAGAAACAATCTCTGAAAGCTTCTTTCCCCCGCCCTCCTCCCTCCCCCTAGGTACCAATACACATACATTATTTCCCCGTCACCTGAAGAAATCTCACCGGATGGGCGTGGTGGGTCCTTCTGGCCCATCCATCTCATAGGAGAAAACAGTGTCCCATTTGAATTGTAGATGCCAGTTGAACGCTCCTCTTACAACCGGCGACGGGTAGTAGTCCAGGGTCATGTGGTCAATGGAATCCAGCATGGGGCACACCACCATTTTGCGGTCCTTGGCGATGGCGGCCAGCAAGGGCTCCAGCCAGACCCTGTTCACTTCGCAGTGGCTGTCCAGGAACACCAGCACGTCCCCTGGGGAGGAGAACAGGCTCATGCTCATGCCTGTGGGTGAAACACCTGACACCCCGAGCCAAAGCCCAGCACAACCCTTTGTGGGGTATTTGCTGTGGGTTTGTCTCTGAGGGTGCTTTCAGTCCCACTGCGGGGAGATGAGAGACACGTATTTTTTTTTTTTTTTTTTTTTTTACCAAAATGTGGGACATCACACACTACAGATGTGCAGAGGGAGCAGGGGAACTGCGGGCTAGAGAGTGGGCTTGGGAAAGATTCTAAAGAAACTGAGCTAGCCCTTTGATTAAAAATATTTTTAATCTGGCTGAAACCGGTTTGGCTCAGTGAATAGGGCATTGTCTGCAGACTGAGAGGTCTCAGGTTCGATTCCGGTTAGGGGCATGTACATTGGTTGCGGGCACATCCCTGGCAAAGGGTGTGCAGGAGGCAGCTGGTCAATGTTTCTCTCTCATCGACGTTTCTAGCTCTCTATCCCTCTTCCTTCCTCTCTGTGGAAAATCAATAAAATATATATAAAAATATTTTTTTTTATCTGGGCTTTGAGTACTCAGCTCAATCAAGCAAGTGTTTACTGTGAGGGTACTTCTGTGCTATTTACTTTGAGATGCATACTTATTTCTGCATTGGAGTTCAAGTTCTAATGAGGACCTATTCTGGTTGGAGAACCTGGGAAAATTCGGTTTTTAAATAAAGAAAACGTGCTTGGAAATACCCAGTGTGGGCTCTGCTCCAGCCGAAGGGCCCTCTTACACCCTGGGATGGGACCCTTCACTGGTGCAGTCTTTTTGAGGATGATTTGGCAGTATCTATCAACATTTAAAATAAGAATTCCCTTTGGTCAGGATTTTTACTCTCTGCAGCTTATTCCATAGGCACAAGCACATTTGCACAGAATATATCCGTACAAGAATTGTCGGTGCAGCCTTTTTTTTGTAACCGTAAAAAATAAAAATCACCAGGTGAAAAATGACTAAACAGATATGGCAATCCATTCATGGAATCTATAAGACTAAAAATTGACATAGATCTTAAGTAATGTCATAGTAAAAGTTCCAAATATTAAAATTAAAAAAGTAAGACTCAGGTAAATAAAGATGGTATGATTCCATATACAAGGTGGGGGCAAAAATAGGTTTATAACCCTAGCCAGTTTGGCTCAGTGGATAGAGCATCAGCCTGCAGAATGAAGGGTTCCTGGTTCGATTTCGGTCAAGGACACATGCCCAGACTGTGGACTCGATTCCCAATAGGGGGCGACAGGTGGTCGTTGATCAGTGATTCTCTTATCATTGATGCTCCTCTCTCTCTCCCTTCCTCTCTGAAATCAATAAAAAATATTTTAAAATATATTTTATTGATTTTTACAGAGGCTTCTATTTGGCCTTCTGCTTAATGAGGAGCCCCCGGATGCAACATGGCCTGATGAAATACCCTGGACACTACCCGTGTCCTTTGGTTCTAGTTTAATATTTTGCCCCAAACCTCTGCTCTTCCAGGATTCCAGGCAGGCTGGGAGCTGGAATGGTCAGACCCCCCTGGGACTCGTCCCCCAGCAGAGCTGACTGCTCAGGGCTCCCTGAGTCCCTCCCTAGAAACCTCCATTGGCAGAGGAGGGGCTGCCTTGTCCCAGCGACACCACCTCCCGGGGGCAGGCTGTCCTCATCCTGCCTGATCCCCTTACTCCGATGTGACTCTTGGTGGAAGCCTGGGGAGTGTGCTGCCCACATCTCCGTTCAAGAGAACCCGCTGCGAGGAGCCCATCTGACAGCTTGCACATCTTTGGTCCTAGCACAGCTTTCACACCCAGACCTCACTCTCCCCGGGGCTCCCTGACAATGACTGAGCACTCTGTGTGTGGAGGGACACGTGGAGGGTGTGGGGGACGGGAGAGCTAGAGCTGGGCCAGCAGAACCCAGTGCGGAGCTCCTCTAAGGGGTGCTCCTTGCTCAGGTTCCCGACTAGCCCAGTGGAGCCTGTCCGAAGCTCTTTCAACTCAAACTTTTCCCCTCTCTCCCTTCCCAGGTGTCAGATCCACTCTCCTCTTTTCCCTTCACAGACATGTCTCCCAGCAACTTTCTCTTTTCTTTTCACCTTGGCTTCAGAATCCCTGAATGGATGCCCTTCCTGGCTTCAGAGTCTCCCCTGCCCCAGGCAGCTGCCCCTCGGCTCCCCTGGCCCCCACGTCTTGCTTCCTCACTGCCTGACAGACCTGGTTCCCAAGAGCACTTGAATGTGTTCCATGTGTGTGTAACTGCCTCTCAGTCTTTAGACCTGTGCACCTCACCCTGTACCAGGGGCTGACATCTCCTACATATCCTATCTAATAAAACAGTAATATGCAAATTAACTCTCACTCTGCTACACCCACAAGCCACACCCTAAAGCCACACCAATCAGGAGCAGGTATTCAAATTAACCCAACCAAGATGGTTGCAGCCTCAGAGAGAGCAGGAGGGAGGCTTGGGTTTCCCTGGCAATGTAGGAAGCCAAGCTTTTGGCACACCTGGCCAGCCCAGGCCTCCGCTTAAGGCTACAAAGATCCTGCCCCATGAGGACACAAGATGTCCACCACAAGATGGCCAGCAGGGGAGGGGAGTTGGGAGGGACCAGGTCTGCAAGGGAGGGCAGTTGTGGATGATCAGGCTTGCAAGGGAGGGCAGTTAAGGGTGACCAGGCCTGCAGAGGAGGGAAGTTGGGGGCGACTGGACCTGCAGAGAAGGGCAGTTGTAGGGTATCAGGCAGGCCTGCAGGAGAGGGCAGTTAGAGGTGACCAGGCCGGTAGAGGAGGAAAGTTGGGGGCAAACACACTGGCAGGGGAGCAGTTAGGTATCAATCAGGCTGGCATGAGAGTGGTTATGGGGTGATCAGGCTGGCAGGCAGAAGCAGTTAAGGGCAACAGAAAGGCAGGCAAGTGAGCAGTTGGGAGCCAGCAGTCCTGAATTGTGAGAGGGATGCCCGACTGCCCATTTAGGCCCAATCCTGTTGGGATCCTGGTGGGATGCGCCTAAATGGGCAGCTGGACATCCCTCGAAGGGTCCCAGATTGGAGAGGGTGCAGGCTGGGCTGAGGGACCCCCCTTCCCCTGTGCACAAATTTCATGCACTGGGCCTCTAGTTTGAAATAACAAATTGATGTTTTGAAGCAACATACTTTGAGTCAAAAGAAAATTAAATCCTCATAGGACTCAAATCCAGGTCCAGGCTTTGTTTAGGCTGGTGGGGATGTGGAGGGTGTCGGGGGCCCTTTGCACAGGGGCGGAAAGGTCTCTGAGACGGAGATGCTGGGTCACGCCCCAGGGAAGTGCTCATACCTGAAGCGCGCACTGCTCCGATCAGCCTGGCACGGATCAGCCCCTCCCTCTTTTTGGTTCTTATTACTTTAATCTTCTCCCGAAAAATTTCCAGGTGGTAGTCTAGTTTGTCTTTTAAGTCATCTGAGGGGAAACAAATGCAGATTTGACAATGTGTAAACAAGAACTGCAGAGATGAAAACAGCTGAGCACAATTTTGAGTGATTCCTAAAAACCATGGTAATCCGAAGAGGTTCTCACTTGAAAAGAAACATTTATTCTACGTGAGGAAGAGAAGGACGACTGTTTCAGCACTGAAGTCAGCTGTAAATAGTCTTTTGTTCCTGGTGAAGTAGCTCTATTTTAATAAACCATTCTGTAAATTGTAATTGAAGCATGAGTTACGGTATTTTAGAGAGTCTGGCTTTATTACTTACAACTGCGTTTCTAACTTGGTGGTAACTCTTACCCAAGTTATCGAAGCACCGAGCCTCCGTTCCCTCGTCAGCGGGAAGGGGTACCCACCGTGCTCCTTGCTGTGCTGTAGTGAGAGGAAGAAATACCACACTCGGCATAGCTCGGTACCTCACAGGCATTTAGAGTTAATTGTGGTGATGGTAACGGAGGCTGGGCTCAGGTGAGGTGGATACCGATGCCTCAGAGACTGAATTCCTAATCCTAGAAATCTGGACGGGGAGATGGGGGTCAGTGGAAGCAGGTTGAGAAGGAGGAATCTCCGGCCGGGTTTTTAAACAGAGGCCCGGGCCCTGAACAGAGGCCCTTGCAAGGCAGGGGCAGCGGGTGGGCTCAGATGTCGGCAAACAACTGTCTGCCCTTCCCGACGCAGCAGAGTGAGGCTGAGGAGGAAACGGGCGCTCAGCAGTGATTGCTGACACTGAGTGGAGGGCCTGCGTCCCCAGGAGACGGGCTTGCTGTTGGCTTATAGTCAACAGGGACCAGGACTCTGAGAAAGGTGGGCACAGAGGCCAGCTCTGCACATGCCTCTGGTGCAACTCAGCGGGGGCAGATCTCTGGGCCCGACTCCCACTCCCCAGGCAGAGGGAGCCATTGGCAGACTATTGGTGTCAGCTGGGAAAGGCAAGCTTCACTTCAAAATATTCTCCCGCCGGTGGAATTGTTGCAAGTTAAAAGCAGGAATATGTCCATCCTGAGTTCCATCAGAACACAGAGCATTTTCTGTGCTGGGGTTCCGTGAGAGTCAAAGACTAAGCTCCTTGGTGATGGTGGGGGACAGGGGGAGGAGAGGAGAGGTCACCACAAGCCAGGTGACCGTGGATCAAAGAGGACACGGAGAGGTATCTAGGCTGGCACACACCCCAATCTTGGGCATCAGCAGCGATTCACCTCCTGCCTACAAGATGGGTGAGCAGGTCTCCAGGTATTCTCTGAAAGGCTGGAGTGATGTCCTTGGCTATCCGGGGCCTGGATCTCCACCGCACAACCCGTCCTTCCGGGTGAGAGGGTAGAACTCCACAGAAGACCCCACCTTGTCCCCCGCTCATGGCTTTTCTGGGGAGTTCTTGCCGCGCATGTGATAACATTTGTTGCTCCCTGCTATTGGTCAGAAAGGCATGTTGGCATCTCTCCACATTCCCTCCCGGGCACAAGACTAGAAATAAGCAGTGCTGTGCGGAACAGGAGTGGCTCCTGTAGAAGTAATGGTGTGTGCGATGGGGCCTGGCCAGAAGGGAAATCCTAAATGTAGCTGACATTAGCTCGACACACCTGGAGTTTCTCCATCTGGCTTGTGGTGACACCCCTCCCCCCACCCCCCCCAGCTTAGTCTTCGACTCTCACAGAACCTCAGCACAGAAAATGCAGAAAACGGAGTGCTCTGTGTTCTGATGGAACTCAGGATGGACTTATTCCTGCTTTTAATTTGCAACAGTTTCACCGGTGGGAGAATTTTTTGAACTGCTCTTCTTCCTACTGTCTCCATTTTTTCTTTCCCAGCCCGCAGTGAGCCAGATTCACAGTGACTGGGTAAATGGATGCATTGCTTCCATGGGAAATGGACCCCACAGGGACCTGTAGACTCCAATAATTCCTTCAAGGACCTGTCATCTTTTCACTCATCTGAGTCCTTTGGGTTAGCCTCTGGTTTGTACTTGGGTTGTAAAACAAACAACTAATTTTAAGTGCTAAGCGTAGTTAATCAGATTTTTGTACTGGTATCACCATTTTTAAACCAGTGAGCAAGCAGGTATGATCACTTAGGTAGGTGATCCAGTACTTGGTCCAATTAGAATTCTTCCATGGAAAGTGTCTAGGTCATATGTGTCAAACACAAGGCCCGCGGGCCAAATCCGTCCCGCCAGGCCTTGCAATGTGGCCCGCACCGCGCTGTCATCACTGCACTCCGCTGCGTTTCCATCACAATGACAGTTTATGACTGTTCAGTAAACCATTCGGCCCGCGATTTAGGCTGGATTTTAGATTTTGGCCCCTTCTCTGATTGAGTTTGACACCCCTAGTCTAGGTCATGTCTTTCCCCTGCATTAAGCCTGTGGGAGCTACCCATTTTCTCCAGAAAACACCCAAACAATGCCCTTCCTAAGCGCTTGCTTTTTATATCTCTGCTTCTATGTCCACCCTTCCCCTCATCTCTACACTTAGACCTGAACTACGGTACATAAAATATAGAACTACTCCAGACTCACCACATTTTCTCTTGCCTCTGGGGTTTTTTGGATGCTCTTTCCTCTGCCTAAAATACTGCTTCCTTCCTGTCGGTCTAGATAATTCCAATTCACCCTTCAGGCCCTCAGTTTAGATGTCACTTCTTCCTGAGAGTCACCAATGATCTCTAAAGACCAGGTGGATGTCCCTATGTTTACCTCATAGAACACTAACCACCCAATGTGTCCAAGAATGTAAGACCAGCTCTTACTTCTACACCAGTGTAGCAATAGCATCTAGCTCAGTGCCTGCCTCAACTCCACCCAAAACTGTTGTGTAAAATAACTCACATGCCTAAAATAACTCAGAGATAGCACTGCCTTCCAAGTAGATTAGGTAGACTACTACAGTGTTTCCCCGAAAATAAGACATCCTCCGAAAACAAGACCTACTTACAGGTTTCCTTCTGAGTGAAATATAAGGCATCCCCCGAAAATAAGGCCCCCCAAGGCTAAACATGATTTGGTCCACTGATTCTGAAAGAAATGGAGTCACAAGAAATTCACCAGGAAATTCAGGAATTGGATTGTTATGATGATGTTCCAGAAGATTGTCATTGAATAAATGAGTAAATTCTTGATACTATAGGATTCACAGTTTGTCTGGTTTGTGTTGACAACTACCGTACTACCATACCGTATACAGGTAATAAATTTCCTTTATTTTCATTTAACAATAAATGTGTACCGTATTCTTCTTCATGCAAAAATAAGACATCCCCTGAAAATAAGACCTAGCGCATCTTTGGGAGCAAAAATTAATATAAGACACTGTCTTATTTTCGGGGAAACAGGGTAGTGTTTGGTCTTACCAAATTCGCTCATGTCATCTACCAAAATAATTTCTTCAAGGATCTGGTGTGGAGTGAGGTTCATGACACTGGACACTGTCCGAAACAAGGTATTAAATTCTTCATTGTGGAAACAAATGACAACACTGGCAGTAGGTAGCCTGGTTGGGTAACGTTTTTGAAGACACCTGTAGGCATATATAAGGGGAAGAAAAAGGATTCATGTTTTGGGATCGCACCTAACCTGGTTTCAAACTATATTGCAAAGCTCTAGTAACCAAAACAATATGGTATTGGCATAAAAATAGACATGTGGATCAATGAAACAGAATAGAGCCCAGAAATAAATCCATGAATATATGCTCAATTAATTTATGACAAAAGAGGCTCAAAAATATACAATGGGGTAAAGACAGTCTCTTCTATGAATTGTATTGGAAAAATTGGACAGCCACATGCAAAAGAATGAAACTGGACCACTATTTCACACCATACACAAAAATTAATTCAAAATAGATTAAAGACTTGAATTAAGACCAGAAAGCATAAAACTTCTAGAAGAAAACATAGGTGGTAAGCTCATTGAGATCAATCTTGGCTATGAATTTTTGGTTCTGACACTGAAAATAAACACAAAAGCAAAAATAAATAAGTCGGACTGCATCAAACTAAAAAACTTCTGCATTACAAAGGTGAGCCATTAATGAAAGGAAAAGGCAACCTCATGAATGAGAGAAAATATTTGCAGATCATATACCTGATAAGGGGTTATATCTAAAATATATAAAGAACTCACACAACTCAATAGCAAACAAACAAAACAAACAATATGATTTTTTAAGTGGGCAAAAGATCTGAATAGATATTTTTCTAAAGAAGACATACAGATGGCCAACTGGTTCATGAAAAGATGCTCAACATCACTAATCACCAGGGAAATGCAGATCAAAACCAAAATGAGATATCAACTCACACCTGTTAGAATGGCTATTATAAAAAAGACAAGGAATATTAGGTGTTGGTGAGCATACCCTGGTGCTCTGTGGGTATGAAAGAATTTAAATTGGTGCAGCCACTATAGAAAACAGTATGGAGTGTCCTCAAAAGTTAAAAATAAAACTGCCATATGGTTCAACAATTCCATTTCTAGGTACTTATCTGAAAATACAAAAAACACTGTCTCAAAAAGGTATCTGCACCCCCATGTTCATTGTAGCATTACTTACAATAGCCAATACATGGAAACAATCTAAGTGCCCATGGTGGATGAATGAATTAAAAAAAAAAAGTTATAATAAAACCATAAAAAGTTCTATAAAAAAATGGAACCATAAAAAGGAGGAAATCTTGCCATTTGCAACAACATGAATGGGCATTATACTAAGTAGAATAAGTAAAAAAAAAAAAAAAAAAAAAAAAAGACATTCATGTAATCTCACTTACATGTAGAATCTAAACAATAACTCCCATATCCTCTCCTGACCGCCTCCCCCCGCCCCTCCCCCGGAAAACCAAGCTCATGGGTACAGGGAACAGATCGGTGGTTGCCAGAGGTAGAGGGTGGGTGAAATGAGTGGAAGAGGCAGGTTGAAAGGCACAAACTTCAGATATAAAACAAGTGAGTCCTGGGCGTAAAAGACAGCATGATGACTGTAGGTAATACCACTGTATTGCATGTTTAAAAGTTGCAAGGAGAGCCTGTCAAGTGTTGCTCAGTGTTTGAGAGTCAACCCATGCAACAAGAGGCTGCTGGTTCAATTCCTGGTTGTGGCACATGCCCAGGTTTTGGTCTCGATCCCAGCAGGGTGTGTGCAGGAGACAGCCAATCCATGTTGATGTTTCTTTCTCATTGATGTTTATATCTCTCTTTCCCTCTCCCTTTCTCTCTTTATAAAATCAATGAAAACATGTTTTAAAAAACAAAAATAAATGTTGTGAGGAGAATTGATCTTAAAAGTTCTCATCACAAGAAAAAAATGTTTTGAAACTATGTATGGTGACTGATGTTAATTAGATTTATTGTGATGATTATTTTACAATATATACTAATATAAATTCATAATGTTGTACACCTAGAACTAATATAATGTTATACATCAACTAGAGGCCCGATGCACAAAATTCATGCATGGGATAGGATGGGGTGTTGTCCCTCAGCACAGCCTGCACCCTCTCCAATCTGGGACCTTTCAAGGGATGTCGGACTGGAGATCGGGCCTAAACAGGCAGTCAGACATCCCTCTCACAATCCAGGACTGCTGGCTCCCAACTGCTCTTCTGCCTGCCTTCCTGATTGCCCCTAACCGCTTCTGCCTGCCAGCCTGATCACCCCCTAACCACTCCCATGCCAGCCTGGTTGATGTCTAACTGCTTCCCTGCCAGCGTGTTTGCCCACAACTTCCCTTCTCTGCCGGCCTGGTAACCCCTATCTGCCCTCCCCTGCAGGGTTGATCACCTTCAACTGTCCTCCCTTGCAGGTCTGGTCCCTCTCAACTACCTTTCCCTACTTGCCTGATCACCCACAACTGCCCCCCCTTGCAGGTCTCGTCCCTCCCAACTCCTCTCCCCTGCTGGCCATCTTGTGGTGGCCATCTTGTGTCCACATAGGGGTAGGATCTTTGATCACATGAGGGTAGTCATATTGTGTGTTGGACTAATGGTCAATCTGCATATTACTCTTTTATTAGATAGGATTATATTTCAATACAAAAACAATGGCGAAACATACATTTTATCCCTGGTATCTGGCACATTTCTCTGATTGTCCAGGCTTTTACTGATAATGGTATTAAGTCCATATGTTGAAAGGCCATGAAGAAATTCTGGGTCCGTATAGTTAAAATTCTTACCTGCAAGAATAGGTAATTAGAGTCACTAAGTATTGGCTTACTACCATCACTTTGATAAAGAGATGACATTTTTAATATATTATATTTTTATTGATTTCAGAGAGGAAGGGAAAGGGATAGAAACAGCAATGATGAGAGAGAACCATTGATTGGCTGCCTGCGGCATGCCTCCTACTGGGATCAAGCCTGCAATCTGGGCATGCGTCCTTGACTGGAATAGAACCTGGGGCTTTTCAGTCCACAGGCCGACACGCCATCCACTGAGCCAAACCAGCCGGGGCAAAGGGGTGGCATTTTAAACCCTACCTATTAAAATTGATTTTTTAATGAAAAACAGAAAGCTACCTGAAACAAATATAACAAACTGTATTTAAAAATTGTTAAATTCAGGTGCTAAATATATACACACCTGTTTTATTTTTTGTATATAATATATAAAATATTTCATAATTTAAAAATTGAATTGGTATAAAAGAATATTCTCTGAGTCTTGCAAATATTAAGTATATGACACATTTTCCCCTTAAAATGACTAACAGAGAAATTCAAAATAGTTACCTAATGCTAAAAATGGTTTCGGTTCCTTAGTTTCATCTTTGTTAGGTCTTTCAGCTCTTGGTATTTGCCCTGAGCCGCGGATAGCTTGCTGTTGCAATTTTTTATCGAGTTTCCAAATTGTTGCAGGCTCCTGGGGTTTCTTCTGCCAGCTGCTCTCATGATCACGGTGAAAACGTACATATAACAGCACTGACACGATCCCAAGTGTCAAGGTTCCATAGAGTAAACACAGGATTGTGACATTTCGCATTGTAAATCTAGCATTTTTCAGGGTCTATTTTTAAATTTCCTAAGTCAGAAGGATTTGGGAGAAGCTATATTAGACATTTCAATGGTTTGTAAGGTCACCTGCTTGCTTTAATTCTATCTTCAGCATTTAAAAAACAATCTTTTTGCTATCGATGTTCATTATATATTTTGATAAGATAGTATATTTTTTCTATTATCAGAAACTCTTAAAATTGATATTCATACAATTACATAACATCAAAATGTGTAAGATGCTTATAAAACGTACAATATAATTAGAAGTCACTGGTCCATACTCCTGAACATGTAGTTAATAAAAATAATGTGAAAGGTTTACAAATCAGTCCATCTTGGGGTGATAGTAGAGAACCCTATTTTAAAAATCTGATTTAACATCAGTCAGACTGTTAAAAACATAAAAATACAATATTCACAACATGGGGAGACAGGCAGTGAACACTGGCACACCCCTGAGGGGGGTGACATGGTGCACCGGAGTTGGCAGCATTGAGTTAGGCTGAGTCTATACAGAGGGTACACACCCCTAGGAATGCACCCCTGGGAGACTCTGCATGAGCACGATTCCTGAAGTAATGTTCATAGGAACAGGACACAGCTGTTTCTCTCTACAGAAGGACGGGCAAAGGGAGGCTGTTCCATCAATACTGGGAATGAACCAACTGCAGCTCTATGGATTAATATCGGAAAATGTCAGAAAATAATGTTTTCAAAACCAAATAGAGTCTGATGCTACCTATACAGCTTTGGAAAACATGAGAAGCAGTGCAATTGTTTATGGCCAAGCTGTATGCAGCAAATGATGGGGCGGGGGGGGGGGGGGGGGGGTAGTGCACGCAAATACACACAGGTTTAGTGTAGTGATTGCCCCTGTGGGGGAGGATACAGGGGAGGAAAATAAGAGCTCCTAATGCTTAAGAAATACACACACACACACACACACACACACACACACACACCATCTGAGCCCTGAATAGTTTGCTCAGTTGGTTAGTGCGTTGTCCTGATATGCCGAGATTGCAGGTTCAATCCCAGGTCAGCACACATATAAGAATCAACCAGTGAATGCATAACTAAGTAGAACAAAAAACCGACATTTCCCTTCTTCCCTCCTTCTCTCTCTCTCCAAAAATCAAATAATAAAGCTCTGAAGCAGATGTGTCAAAACAACAAAGTTTGACAAAGCTTGGTGATGTATACATGGTGTGTGTGTGGTATTTTTCTCTATATTTCCCTTAGGTTGGAAATACCTAATAATTTATGAGATTAATTATGACACCTGTCTCTTCTCCCTTGTGTCTCTACTAGGGATGAAAGTAAAGCTAAAGCCCCAGGGCAAAGGAAACTAAGAAGAAAGTAAGAAATGGGGCGACATCAAAATAAACAGTTCTGCACAGCAAAAGAAACCATCAACAAAACGAAAAAGGAGCCCACTGTATGGGAGAATATATTTGGCAATGATATGTCTGATAAAGGGTTAATGTCCAAAATATATAAAGAACTCATACAACTTAACAGAAGGAAGACAAACAATCCAATAAAAAAATGGGCAAAGGACCTAAATAGACACTTCACCAAAGCAGACATACAGAAGGCCAAGAGACATATGAAAAAATGTTCAAAGTCACTGATCATCAGAGAGATGCAAATCAAAACCACAATGAGGTATCACTTCACACCTGTCAGAATGGCTACCATCAACAAATCAACAAGTGACAAGTGCTGTCGAGGATGTGGAGAAAAGGGAACCCTAGTGCACTGCTGGTGGGAATGCAGCCATTATGGAAAAACAATATGGAGATTCCTAAAAAAATTAAAAATTAAATATGGAATTGCCATTTGACCCAGTGATCCCACTTCTAGGAATATATCCTAAAAATTCTGAAATACCAATCAGAAAGAATGTATGTTCACAGCAGTACAATTTACAATGGCTAAGATCTGAAAACAGCTCAAATGCCCATCAGTAGATAAGAGGATAAAAAGGCTGTTGTACATTTGTCCATGGAATACTATGCAGCAGTGAAAAAGAATGTCTTACCCTTGGAGACAGCATGGAGGTAGCTGGAGAGTAGCATGTAAAGTAAAATAAGTCAGTCAGAGAAAGACAAGTATCACATGATCTCACCCATATGTGAAATCTCAGTAACAAAGTAAACTGCTGAAGGGAGTGGATCCAGAGGCATGGAAGCATGGAACAGAGTGCCGGCTCCATCGCCAGTAGGGAGGTGTGCAGGAGACAGCTATTGATGATGTTTCTATCTATGTCTCTCTCTCCCTTCCCTTCTCTGAAATTTATGTAAAAACATTAAAAAATAATATTTGGGGGAATTCTCTTTAGGTGTGAACATCTATAGAAATATACCTCTCTAATTTTCTTATTCTACTAACTAGTGGCCCGATGCATGGATTCATGCACATTGAAAGGAAATTAACTAGAAGAAATACTTTAATTTTGCTATTCATCCTTTCTCTATAATAGAAGTGTTAGAGATGAGAGAAAATTAGTAAAATGTATATGAAAGTAATATATAAATTGATTAATAAACAATAATAACCTGCTATAACAACAACAAAGACATGACATAAAAACATGATATACAAACAACATAGATAAAAAACTATGATGGATAAATTGATTAAATATTCTAATATTTCCCTGTATACTTGGAGTAAAAACACTTTCAGAGTGCTTAACTAATCTCCCTGGTGATGAAGCATTTACAACTTTGAAGTCACATGTCTGAAACAGTTTCATGTAGGAACATTCCTACCCTGTCTAGAGTTTGTCCTTGTGATTTATTAATAGTCATTGCAAGTGCTGGCATCATGGGAAACTGTCTTCAAATTAATTTAAATGGGAGGCCAGTGTCAGACGGGGACAAATCATTCCTTGGAATCAGAACCTCCCCTCTGTAGATCCTGTTAATACTTCAGCTTTGATTATGTTAGGTTGCAATTTTGTGATAATAAATCTAGTACCATTACAAAGACCCCATTTTGTGATAATAAATCTAGTACCATTACAAAGACCCCATTTACCATTACCATTTCTCAGTAGCATGATGATTGCACCTACTTTCAATTTTAATTTATGACACAGCATTCGTGAAGGAGTAATCCTATTAAGAAATTCAATGGGAAAATTTTTCTTTTCAGTATCATCCGTTTAATCCACAGAGTCATTACTCAATGCTGAGTCGACATTTATTTTTAATTTTAATTTTTTAAAAATTATATTTTATTGATTTTTTACAGAGAGGAAGAGGGATAGAGAGTTAGAAACATCAAGAGAGAATCATCAATCAGCTGCCTCTTGCACACCCCCTACTGGGAAACATTAAAACATTAAAAAATAATATTTGGGGGAATTCTCTTTAGGTGTGAACATCTATAGAAATGCCTGAACCCCTTGAACAGAATCGAACCTGGGATCTTTCAGTCTGCAGGACGATGCTCTATCCACTGCGCCAAACCGGTTTCAGCTCAACGTTTATTTTTAAATTGCCAGTGCGAATCACATGTACTGGCCAGTCAGTTGGTCGGATGTGCATTCAGCCACTTAGCCTTTTATACATATAGATATGTTTTCTTTTGATTAGTATTATGTTTTAATCTTCACCTGAGGTTATGCTTAGGAAGGGAGAGTAAGAGGGAGAGAGGGAAGGAAGGAGAGAGAGAGAGAGAGAGAGAGAGAGAGAGAGAGAGAGAGAGAGAGAGGGAGAGAGAGAGAGAGAGAGGGAAACATCAATGTGAGAGAGAAACATGGATCAATTGCCTTCCATGTTAGGAATAGAACCCACAATCCAGGTGTATGTCTGACTGGAAATCAAATCAGCAGAGGATGACTCTCAACCAACTGAGCCTTTTCAGCCAGGCTATTACATTTTATTAAAGCAAAGTTCCCACAGTGTCTGGAATGTGTCATTGCCCCCCCCCCCCTGCCACCCTCCCTATCTCCCACACTCCCCCAAACACCCAGAAAACCTCTCCTACCAAAAACAACAGGTCCGGAAGGTCTGTGATCAGCTTTGCATCTCTGTCTCCTCAGAAGGAAATCATGATCAATTATTTTCTTCTCTAAAATATGCTGACTTCACAAGCTAGAGAAATATAGACTTTGTAAAACATACTTTAGTGATCACTTATATGAACAACAAAGTTCTAAATGCATTTAAACCCCCGCTAACACGCACGCTTGCACATGCGCCCACTGGCAAACCCAAACCCTGAGCTAAGTCTGGAGGCAGTCACTGAGCTGGTTGTAAAATGTGAGTCTCCACAGGACAACGTGGCCACACTTCAGATAATGTCACGCCTAATTTTTCTGTAAATAAGTATTTGTAACCCTCCCCTTGCCTAGGACAATCTTAATACCGATCTCCATACAAGACCTGTGGCTTTCTCACACCACAAAGGGCTTTTATTTTCCTATTTAATCTTTTTGAGTAAATAATACCTTCAATTGTATAAACCTTAAAAAGGAAAAGGGTTATATAATGAATATTAGCCCTGATTTTCAAGAACCCAAGTCACTGCGATGCCCTGTAGGGTGGTGATAAAACCTCTAAAAACCCAATCTTCTGAACCCCAACCCCGTTGGAGAGCCAGCGATCCGATGAGTGGCCTCCACTGATCCCCATGGAGAAGCCAGGCCCCCATGTCCGTCCTGCTCCCAGCACCCCGAGCTCACCCTCACCACTGAGACCACTTCTCCAGCTGCTTTGTAATGGAAGTGTTTTCTAAGGTGAGTCCGAGGTGGAATTAGGCAGGGATGTGTGAGGAAACATCTGGAAGATAGAGTTGGTTCCTGGGTGGTTGTTTGGTGCCTGAATTTGAGCAAATACCAGACTGGCCTGGGCTGTGCTGCCCACCCAGCTGCCTCACAAAGCCCGTGACATCACACAGGCCCCGGCCAGAGGCCCCCTGGGAGCTGCAGCCGCAGGTGCGATCAGGACAGCCAGAGTCCAAGGTCTCAGAGTCCGAATCCTC